TTCTTGCAAACGCATTTGAGGCTGAGGACGAGCAGCGCAAAATTCAAGAAGAGGTGGAGAGGCTGCAGCGGGCGCAGCAGGAGTGCGAGGCGTGCGGGCCAAGCACGCAACACTAAAATCAGATACCTTTGTGGTTTCCAGCATGTGTGGCTTCCTTGCGCATGAATGACAAATTCACAGAAAGGTGAATTGCTTAGCAAACAGAGACGTTGATAGCAAGACGAGACATCAATTGTGCATGTATACAAGCATGTTCCAGCTGATCCACATACAGTGACCCTTGCCCCAATCCACAAGGGCTTCGAGTACGAGGTGTACGAGGCATACGAGGTGTCACGGCACGGCTTTCGCCTCGGAGCGAGGCCAAGCGCCGGGCTCGAGCAGCCGCTTTGCCTGTACCGGGCCCCGACGCCACGGCGCGCGTGGCGATGCGGCTGCCTTCAGGCTCAGTCGCCAGCGGTTTTGCGGTTTTTTAGGCGCAGGTCACTGCTTCTTTACCAGCTTTAACTAGCGATTTGGGTTCCCCGGGTTTCCCTGTCTGTAGGGAACGCCAACAAGATGAATGTTTGGGTCATGAAGCGATAAATAGACATACCACCTAGGATTAAACTATGCAAAAGACAAACGGGTGGCCCCAAAAGAAAGTGTATGCACCTGTAATAGAGTCAAGCAACCACACCCCCGCCCATTGTTGGGACAATTATAGAAACAAGAAGAACAACAGAAGAAAGGAGAGGAGAGGTAGCCAAGCTAACACCTGGTCCTTGGATCTTTGGCACCTTGCTCTTGCCACCTGCTTCTTTCCTCACCCAGTAGCTCAAAGCGATACTGAGTCAAACGGAAACTCAGTTCCAAATCTCAAAAGGAAGCCGGTCCAGCAAAACTAAATCAAATTGAAGCTCAAGTCCACCAATACTAAATGGAAACTCACTTCTGAACTGGGTCTCAAGATGCTATTCCAGGTGCCCCCATTGTTAGGTGGACATTACCGTTAGGCAACGAAAGCCTAAACACACATATATATATATATATAAGCATTAAATCGTTTTTTCGGGCCAGAGTTAGACGTAAATAATTCTTGGACACCAACTTGTTGCATTCCAACACACGTTCATTGTGGCGTCTCCCGATGCTGAAAGCCTTTGCCATGTCAGAAACGGAGAGTGTCCGAAAGGAGACATTTCAGAACTGTTCTTGAGTGAGTACAAAGAGCCAACCAGCGCGTTTCAGTAATATTGTGATAGCAGGGCACGAGAACAAGCAATGTAGCCCCAGACATTGGGCAGTGCAGATGGAACGCACCACTGTCTGACAAAGACCCAACCGGGAAAACAGGTGAATAGCGAAGAAGCATGGCCGGCAAACGGGCCGCCCCTCAGGGGCCCCCCTTCTTATTGGGTGGGGGTGGTCACCAGTCACCTGGCAGCGCATATCCGCGCGTTATTTTCATGCAGAGCGCGTTGCTCATTCCATGGTGCGTAGTTTGATTTCCAAGGGGCATGTCCGCTGCCGGTTGCACGTGTACTTCGTGATTACGTACTACACCACCCCGCACAAACCCGCAGAAGCGGACCCTTAGAAGACTGCGCGGATTTTTTCCTAGTAAGACATCGCCAGCCTGCAAACCAATTCAACAAGTTGACCAGTCAGACCTCACACTCGGAAATCATCGCTCTTTTGCCATAAGCAAATAGACCCGAAGTCCCGGATATGGACTGATTTGTGTTTGTCTACCAAGGTTCCGGAGGTTTTCAAGATGGACACTCGTGACAAGATGCAATTTTATCAAAGGACCAAGTTGCTAGCAAGCTGCGCTCGGCTTCTGTGTCAATCACCTCTTGACCGTTTCAATGCTGCTGCCATGGGAAGTTGTTGGTTCTGAACCTGTTCCGAGGGTTGCAACTGGAAGAAACCAAGTAAGGTGATTTATGACCGGGAAGACTCTTGTCATTGCTGCTCATTGGCGGGGGCTATGGAGGACCCACGAGGCTGCCAACCAATTTGAATCTATTGCAGGTTGATGCTGAGATTTGAGTGAGCTTGATAGTGGTTGCTGGACCACCTACGGAATCTTCAGAAAGCTAGCGCAAAAACAGACATGGACTCCTCGCTGCAAAAAGGAGTATTGCGCGGGTGTTTGTGAGATTGAAATATTGCGAGGCGCACTTATGCTGGTACAACAAATAAGTTTAAATGTACGAATGAAATCCCAGGCTTCTCGATGTTTGACACTACAGACACTGCTCTAAGAACTTGGAGTGTCCCAGTTCAGTGCAGCGAGGCCAGCGTGTGGACCGGAAGTTCTTGCCGGGTTCTACCCTGCAGGAGGTCTATGCGCCATGGCAAAATGAGCAGTTTGGTGTGCATAAAAGCTTGCATTGTCAAAACTGCATTTGCTGCGACAGGAAGACTCTTCAAAAGGGGGGCCAGGAGCGTTTGACCTTGTGAAATGTAGTGAGCTGTAGCAAAGTAATATAGATTGTCGTGTGTAATTCGTGCCGGAACCCAATTGAATTGCGTATGACCCCCACTATGCGCACAGCTTGAAGGAAGTAATCACTAGCCCTAAAGAACAGACATAATGCAAGTGTCATGTGTATGTGTTTGGTCTCGCTCTCCGCGGGCTAGTATTTGCCTGCTTCCAGTCAGAACGGGCGGCCGTGGTGTGTGCGCTTGTGCCTTTGTCGGACTTAGTTTTCCACAAGGCCAATACTGGCTTGTGCATTTGGACCGCCGGACTCAGGACTGGGCCGAGTGCGTTGCGTTTTTGCCGGAGAACGCAGACAAGGTGGGATATTCCCAGCAGGCATGCAGACAATTGCAAATCGCCTGTCCTTTGCTGTTGTGAAGCACAAGGCTGAAGATGTGTTTTTCTTGCAACACAGCCTTCATGATTCTTGGCCTATCACCTCATTACAATGATCCTTTTGAGGTTGGTGTTTTCTCCATGAACAGGGCAATAGTTTCATTTGTGGCTTGAGTTTGCAGTTCTTTTAGTTGGCTCTTCGCTGTTGACAGTAATTGAGTGAAAATGGAGCTGTCGTAGTTGGTCAGCTCATTGCGTCGCTGGAGGGCATGGAGATCCCAGAGCGCTTCGTTTTGAAGACAAGCTTCCCTGTGCAAGAGCTCACTCAGATGAATAGCTCCTCAGATTGCAGACACCGAACCATCTCACAGGCTTCACGGGAGAGGCCACTGAACACTAGGCCCTGAAACGTAGCCTGCCACAGTGCTGGGCAGACTTGAAGTTTTTTAAAACCAGGTTGTTGGGTCTAACACATTTGCCCCATCCAAACATCACTAGCTTGGATGCTCCGCATGCTCCGTATGCACACCTAGCAGATGCTGTGTGTGCGTGTTGCGGCACAACAACTTGCAGTCAAGCTGTTGCACTGCTACAACCCCACCGCATGGCTCAGGTGAAAGGCAGATTTGAAAGGCACCTTCATACGGGAGACCAACAGCACTTGCATAACCATCTGATTCAGTAAGCGTTTGGCTTCAAGACCGTGGTTGTGATTTCCTTGGGTCAGTACAGCTTGAACAGCCTCGCCTCTCTGCCAGCACCTCTAAGGCACGGTGGATGATTTGAAGCTTGGTGGGACAAATATCTTGCTGGCAGCTATTGAGGCAGGAGCCGCTGCAGAAACAGCAAGAGTTGTTGGCCCATGCAATTGAGGAAAACAACCTGCAAAACACGTATTGCTGGACAAGGTTTACTTCAGCCCCTCTTTGAAAGCTCCTCTCCATCATCCTTAGCTGCAGAGATGCACTGTGATCTACAGATGTCCTAGTTTCCCTTAGGAGGTAAAAGTCAAGGGCCCAGCTCAGCGAGGCTTAGCAGGATGCGTGTATTGACAGATTGTTTCGTTTGGCGAAGGGCACCCCACCAGCCTGATTCTCTTGACTCTGCACCGATGCACCCTTCCCAGCCAGGATGACTGAGCAAAAGCAGAGCCGCTTCCGGAAGGGGGCTTCATGCGCCCGTGCCATCGGGTCAACTTCTTTCACCTGCAGCCACAGCCTGTTTAGCGACATTGAAAGACTTGCCAAACCACTCCTGAACGCATAATTTCCTGGGGGGTTGACTGTGAATGTCAGTGGCAATGATCTGCAACAGCAGCCAGCAATAGGCACAGAGCTTACAAATTGCAAAGCCGAACAGCAAGATGAGTTCAGATGTGTCCTCAAACCTTAGAGGCAAACTTCTATGTTTTGGCTTCGCTGTGTGCGGTTCCGCTTCCTAGAGATTCAGGACGCGGCTGTAGTACGTAGCTAGTTCTCTTGGCTTTGGCTCGCCCTGCGCTCGAGCTGAAGGCCTTGCAATCCTGAGAAAGTCGAGACCTGCGACGTGTCTGGTTCATTTCAGGTAAGAGGGGCACGGGCATCCAACGCTCTGCGCAGGCAGAAATACCCACAAAAATCCATGTCCTTGTACAGGAGCGTGGGCGCACTTTCGTGCAGAAAAGGGCATGCTCGCGTGCCAGGTCTGCCATAAATGTCATGCTTCCTCAAATTAGATACAGAACTCAACACTCAGCCACTTTAGCGATATTGCCAGCAGCAGTAGTCGAAGTAGCCCAGCAACACCTATGGTGGGGCTAAAAGTGATTCGAGTATTTTGTTTGGTGGCCGCCAGTAGTTTGGTTGAGGTGGAGGTGCCTGCACGGCGAACTAGAAAGTACTCCGAAACGCAGATTTGGCACGCCCACTGAATAGATTATACAGTATAATATTTAACTAAACTCGAAACTCAAAGTTCAAAACTCAAGCATACAACAACTCCACTCCAATTCTCTCCTCTCCGCTCCTTTCCACTCCACTCGCTCTCACCAACTCAGAGTTCGCTCTCCAGTTCGCTTGGGGTCTTTGTGGGTGCAGCTGGTTTAGGCTGGGATTGGACCCCAAATCAGAAAGCAGAGTCGAAAGTCAATTTGTTGGATATGTCTTTGGGAGAAGTCAAAACCGCACGGTTTGTGCTGCATCTTTCTCTCGCCGAGGCCTCGCTGGCCGAGTTCCCAGAGGCGGTGGAGGCAGATCCAAGACCAGCGGGGCTTGCGGCACTGTTCATAGAAAGTCTCTGGAAAGTCTCCATGTCTCCGTATTCTCCGTAACGTGGCAATATGTTGGGCAATCGTGGCCCGTGGCGTGACTTGAGTCAATCCAATCCGTTTCAATCAATTCTATCACAGAATCCAGAATATCCGTCAGACATCCGGGAAACCATTGACTGTCCAGGCACTGTTCAGGCAGCGCGAGCTGGCATCCGACGGCCGCTGCCAGGTGCGGTGGATGTGGTGGAAACAGGAACCTGGGTCATGCTTGCCAAGCGCCTTGCGTTGTTCGGCAATGGAAGTACGCACCATGAAAGCTGGTACAAACCAAAAGGCACTTGAACGGTTGACACAATGCTGGCTTGGCTCGGATTTTTTCCTGCAATTCCCTGACTGTGGGTCTTTTGCTCGTGACTGGCTAAATCTCCCTCTTGTGCAGCCAAACGCATAGGTCCAATTGCATGACTCTCATGGTCGCAGCGTGGCACTGGCAGTGTCTTAGCTGCAGAGCTTCGGCAGTGACCTCCGTGCTCGGTACTTTCCTGTTTGGGCAGACTAAGCATAGGCCAGAAGGCTTGTCCGACTGTTTGAAAGACATCCCCTTAGGAAGAAGGCAGAAGGCTAGCGTTGTTTGTCTCGAAATTCGAGGTGGACGAATTCATCCCTTGCCACATCCGCGAATGGTGGGACGATGAGGGCATGCCTCTCTTTGCCCGGCCCAACGGCAATGAAGCTTGGGTGCCTTGGTGCATTTGGAAGCCTGCGACTTCCGTAGTTTGACACCTCTACTAAAACGTGAGTGTATCATGTAGCAGCTTTTGTCAACTCAACACGGCATTCTTGCTGCAACTGCGAACCTAAATGGCTGCCGAGGATTGTTCAGGATTCCGTGATACATGTCATGTCCAATCTCAGGTACTCCTTTTGGAGAAGGCACGTTGGGTGAAGGACACGCAAGTGCAAAGCTAACACGAATCTGTGGAGAAATGAGCTTTGGCATTTTCATTTGCTGCTGGCCAGGCCTTTGCAAAGATGTTGGGGTCTTACACCGCTCTTAGCGGTGGCAACTGCTGCTCTGCCTGGGGCCCAGCTTGAATATTGGCACACAGATCTATGGACAATGCCTTTGGATGCTAATGTCTTGCCCAGCTGTAATACCTTCGGATAGCTTCCCGATTTCAGGCCTTTCGTGCCTTTACTGGCGAACAAAGCTTCGTTTGGGCACGCTCAGAGGGCGAGGCAAGGGGCATGGCTGTGCCGAGCAGGCAGCATCTCTGGAACGCAACAAAACAAGAATCAAGGCCAATGTTTAATCACGTGTTTCATAGCAGAAGCCATCAAGATGTGCCGCTTGTGGCACAAAGAGTGTGCACTGGGAGGGCTACATGAACAAACAACTCCCCATGCAGGCAATTCGTAAGTTTGCACCAGAAGGCTAAAGGTTGAGCACGCAGGACTGTGGTTGATGAAAAGCTTAAATGGGCCACATCTATTGGGTGCGGCTTGATTCAGCCGGCAATCAGCCGAATGAAAGGGGGACATGAGTGCTGCCTTGTTTCAAGTAACAAAGGCAATGGATGGCCACATTGCTCCCAGCCATGAACTGCGATTGCTTTTCAGATGTGGCCATGCAATCCTTGTTTTGCAAACAATTGACCGCACATGTTGATTGAATCAGCTTGCAGTTGCATGGAAAACACAGCTGTATGCGGATAGTCTTGTTGTATTGTGTGGCTGCTGAAGTATGTGACAGCTTATAGGCCTTATAGGCCTCAAATGTACATCGCCCACTTGAGAAGCAATTTCGCAATCAATTGCACTCTTTGCTTCTCGCGCATGTATCTTGAGGCCCGTTCATGGCCTCGGCTTTGCGGAATGTTGACAAGTTGACAGTACTGAACAGACAAGAAGTCAGTTGTGCGTGCCATGTGGCCGTCCTTTGCCAGACGGCGCGGGTCGAGGGCGAGTGGAAGAAGATGTTCGGCTCCGAGCTGTCAGTATGCGTGTATATGTGTGCTTGCGTTGCGTTTCACCACCAATTCAGCTCAAATAGTTTGAATCGCTGACAGAATCGAAGGTCGGATACATGAGTCAATGTGTCAGACACCATTCGGCCCGGAATTGCGTTGTTGTTTTCTCTATCCATGCCGGGCACTCCCAAGACTGTCTCGCCCTAGCGTCCTGAAGCTTGTGTCACCCGACATGGCTAGCCTTATTTCTTGCTCGACGCTTCAGTGATGCTGGCTGTGGCAGTGTCCATACAATGCTCAATGCTTCAGGTCGCTGCACTGAGGCAGGTAAAACGACAAATGGACATGGAGCTTATGAATACAAGTCTGAGATCAGAATGCCAGGGATACATGTCAAGAATGAAGGTGAGTGTATTCAAGATACATACCTCTGCACTGATCTCCGTTTCAACTGAGGCAATTGGCTTCTGGGGAGGACTACTTCATGTGGACGCCGGGCACAGAAGAACGGCGTGATGCATCAAGTTTGTGGGAGGAGGTGCGCCAGCCAATCGCTTGAGCGCCACTGCTGTGTCAGCTGCTTAGACTGCGAGGTGCGAAGCTATGACCGCCAAAGCTTCCTGGTGGCCTGCTCCATGCGGGCCAGACACGGCCAGGACACAAAACAAACACTTGCGGTGATCAAGAGTTGTCCCCAGAGCTCGACCGACGCCTTGGATTTAGTCCTTAGGCCAAAAAGGGCCCAAAGGTCGGAAGCTGCAAATCTTAGCCTTGCAGGGGTTTGGCGCTCAGAATTTGGAAGACCTGACAATGCGCTCGCCTTATGCTGCTAGGAGCACATACGGGAGGATGGCCTTGTAGAAGCACATGCTTATTCCCTGTTGCACGCGGTAGACGTAGAGGCCAGTCCTCCAAGTTTGCTACACAGAGCACAGCTTGAATCGAGAAGGGTGTGTGCATGGATTTGAAAATATGGAAGCATGGCAAAGTTGGGATTGTCACACATCTGTCAAGATGTGCTCCATGTGCTTCCAAACAAATGAACACCGTTCCACAGCCTCACTGATGTGCAAGGGGCAGCGCCTGGTCTTTTTGCGAAATCCCTGGGGCAACGACAAACGCTGGAATGGGCCGGGTGCCTGGCCCGCTGTTTTGCAATGCACCTGGATGTTAGCGCGGAGTTGAGTCGTGGTGACCGAAAGAAAACAAAGTACTAGTCCTGACTGAGACTGAGACATCAGTGGAAAGATTGCAGGCAGCTTTCAAGCGACCTTTGAGGCGATGGTGCGATGGCGATGAGGCAGGGAATCCAGATTGCGGTGACTGAGGGGAGCAGGCTGCCGTTGGAAGTTTCAGGATGGGTTTGCATAAGACTCCGGGTTGCGCCGCTGCCTCAGTCAGGCGTGGGCTCAATATCCTGGGCTGCGCCGGCGCTTGCGTCCGCAGACGGGTGCCCAAGCTGGGCATCAGCTGTGGCTTTCAGGCTTTGTCAAACTTGGGATTGAGGATTGACATCTCCAGGGGGCAGGGTGGTAGATTCAAAAGTTGTTCAGCTCGAAATTGCGGCGTGGCTCACTCCGTGTAGTCAGGTTTCGCAATGATGGTGCCTTTTGGATGGCCTGGATTGATTTTCAGGCGCGCCCTGTCACATCGGTTGGCCAAGTCGGGAGTGGGAACAGAATCGATTTGCATTCGGCGCTTTGGGCGCATGCCGCGCAGGCGAGCTTTGACTTTGTCTATGTGTGCGCCAAGCGGATGCGTTTGAGCCTGAGAGCCTTGCCAATTGCGACTTGCAACATTGCCTGCAAGCTTCGCACTGAGAGGGCACTTGACAGAGTCAGAGGCTCTGTGCTTGCGGCTCAATAGGCACTCCTTTTCGCACAATGTCTTTTTGAACTGCTTGGCTGCTGTAAGTTAAGTCGACGTACAAGTGAACAATCTCACCAGACATAATGCTTCTTGGCATATCCTGATCACGTAGCAGCATATTATACAGTGGGGATTTATTGTGTGTGCCTGGACTTCATGTTCCAGCAACAGCCTTGTGATTTTGTGTTTGGGCAAAAAAGACTACCTTGCTCAAAGGCGAAACCCAGTATATTGTTTATTTTGTTTTTAAAGCAGCTTTGCACTACCCCATTATGGACAACCCCCACGGCCCACCCTGAAGATTCTGGAAGACATGATTTTGAGCCGCTGGGATTGATGATCATCCAGAGCCTAACCCCCCGCAACCCGCCTAAAAAAGCGCAGATAGCGCAAGATTCCATTTGACCAGATTCCAGATGTCCGCGGACTCAGCCCAATCTCTGCAATGCATAGAGATCTGTGATTGAGTGGCAGACAAATTAAATGACAAATCCTCGGTCTTCAGCACCCTGTGGCGGCCATCCAGCCTGCCTTTTCGCAGCACTCAAGAAGCCCCAACAATCTGCTCGTGGAGCGAGTTCACTTTAGCTCGGAGACAGCTGTATTGATCTAGACTCAGGCCCCGACCCACCCCGAAGACACTGAGAGAGATAAATGAATGCGTTTTGCTGAGGTCACTGTTTGACTAGGGCTGGCAGACAACTTGAACATGCATGTATTCGTTTAGATTCTGGCTCTCTCTCTCTCTCTCTCGCTGAGCAGACCCTGCTGGCCCTTTAGAAGGAATCAAGAACTTTAACAATTAACACTTCAAACTGTCTGGGGTGTAAAGCAATTCCGTCAACGGTGGGAAGCTTGTGGATGAAGTACCTCCCAACAAAAGCAACCTGGTTGTGTTGGCGTGTAAAGTCCCTGATCCACGGTTTGCAGGCTCCGCTGCAGATGCCAGCGAACACGCGCGCCGTTCCGAGATGGGCGAGGCGTTGTCAGATCATCGTGATTGTCGGCATTGCACAAGCTGTAGCAGATGATCACCAAGGAGTGGAGAGTTGGATGGCCCTTTGCCAGGTTCCTGAACCCGCCCCTGCTCCTGCTGCGCGACGACGTCGTATCGCACGCGCAGCGGCCTTGCTAAGAAGCTCACGGTTTGTTTGAGTCCGGTTCAGCTGTTCCAATCCTGAGCCAAAGCCTCCAAGTTCCATCCCTGTTTGTTCACCTCCAACCCCCTCTCCAGCTCCTATCCTTGCCATTCTCAGCTGGCTCTCCAGCCCTCCAGCTCAACTGGCTGGTTCACACCATGGCCGCGCGCTGGGGAAGGCTGTGGTCGTGTTTGGACACAAGAATGATGAAGCAAGGACCAGCAGGAACACGTTCAAATTGTTATTCAACCATGCTATACCATATTTGTTCAGCCTCGAGCTTGCGGCCTGTGCTTCGGTGCCAAACAAGCTGCGACTCGGAAGCGCGAAGGAAGCCAACCCATTCGGAGCACCCCTGTTGCTCGCCCTCAGAGCCGTGCGGCTTTGTTCCATTTAGTTCGTGCAAGGCCGCGATTCAATTCGCAGGCTTTGCTTCAGGAACCTCAGCGTTTCGATGCGTTTCCCCTTTGGACGCTGTTCCCATTTTGTTCCCGATTCATTTCGTAGAATGCTCTCTGATTTGAGAGATGCGGTTCCAGGCACGCCGACGCCCTGCCAAGGCCTTGCCTGAGCGCCTACCACGTTTACCCCCTGGTGCACGCCGGGTCCCCCGAGGTTGCCCCCTGGTATTCTCTGCAAGGCACCTTGCATTGCACTGGTCTCAAGCATTTGTCAGTGACCTGACAGAGTTTGCAATTTCTTAGTTGTACCTCGAAATCCAAGTAGTAAGCAGGGTTCCAAAAACCTCAGCACGTCCTAAAGCGCAAGATGTGACTCCCTACTTGTGGATGTTTGTTCATGACTCTCCCGCTGGCCAGTATGACTGGATTGTCAGATCTTCCCAAGAATATCAAGATGTTTGAAAGCTGCTCGCAGCAGAGGCAAACCAGGAAATTGGAGCTGCCGATGCCAACATCGGTAGGTGCTTTGTCGAGGCCTGTTTCACCATCCAGCAGTTGAATTGCGATATCCTGTTATCATCACGAAAGATAGCTTGTAGCATGAAGTTCTCCTTGCTTTAAACTTTCAAGTTGCCGGGCCAGCTTCGGGGAAACTGATCATAATGATTCAACTGACCAATGCTTCACAGCGGGCCCATTTTGACACTGTTCGGCGCGTGCAGCGCAGGCGGTGAACTTGTAGTCATGCTTCAGCACGTGCAATGCAAACCTCCTCTGTCTGGGTGTGGTCGCGCCCATAGCGCTGAGAGCTCGCTAAAGCAATTAAAACTGATGTCCATCACACGCTCAGTATATAAGGCTGAGCAGGCGGGTCCAAGTTCGGGTCTTGATGTCTTCTGGGTCTTCATTTAAGGTTGAATTATTGGCTTGGAATCCACTGAGCCGCACATGTCACTGTTGAGCTGAGCTTTCGTTCGCCTGCCCCTGAAGGGATTTGTCCATGTCTTCTTGGGAATAAGCATGTTTGTCCATTGACGATGAATCATTCTGCTTGATCAGGCAAGTGTAGGTTGACAAAAGGCATTGCCTTGGCAACTGAACGGCTTGACAGGTGGGAGTGGGAATCGAACATCAATGTTTGCCGCGCACTGCAGGTGTTGAGCTTATGGGTCATGACTTGGAAGGATGCGTCTTTGAGGCAAAGTGGGAGGGAGTTCATGGAGCGCATCAGCGGTGTTGGGTTGGCCCATATCATCCAACAAGCATGGAGCAGCTGGCAACATGTTCAGGCAAATGTTTTCTGATATGTGCTGAGGTGGAACAACGTTTCCATAGGAGTAGTCAGTGATGTTTGTGTGACGTGTATAGACAGCTTGCTTTGCATTGTAACGCATCCACCGCGCAGCATGCTGATGCAAAATGTGTTGCACACGCGAACTTGGGCAAAGGATTCATGCCATTGGCGTGTGCTTTGCTCATGCATTCATTGTCAGGTGGTGGGTTGGGATGAAGAGGCTGGCAAGTGCGCTGCGCGAGGATGACTCAACCCTACTGTGTATGCAGTATACAGAGATAATAGCATGTTCTTATTTGGACTGCTAGAATCGCATGATAGCTGCAGGGTGCTGGCCTTGTGGTTGAGGTACCAGCTGCGATCAGCCAAGCACCAAGGCAGTCCTGTCACGTCACTGACTTGCAATTGCAAACTTTGATGGTATGACACTTCATTGTTGAGTGCTGACAGTTCAAGCTTGTGAGATGCTGTTTCCCTGCGTCAGCGTGATCTGTTTTGTCCAGCACTCATTGCGGCATATTGAAACGCCTCCAATGTGGCCCAACGCAGATTCCGACCAGCCATTTTCCATCAAGTGGACATTGATGCAAACAAACGAACAAACTGAGTGAGCGAGGGAGGGAGAGAGAGAGAGAGGGTTGTTTGGAGTGCTGCGTTAGGATGGTGGCAGTGTTGCTGGGGAAACCACGTAGCAATCATGATGAAAAGTTCCCACCTCCCTACCTCTCGACCTAAAGTCAAAAATAGCTTCAAGATGCTTTAAGAGTTTCAGCATGACTCACGTGAGACATGTTTTTCGCGGGAAAGGCGCTTGCACCCCTACTAATTCTAAGGGTCCACACACCCACACACTCGCACAGGTCGCATTAAACCATTAGCTTTGCTTGCACCCTTACAAAACAAAACACGGGCATTTGCCCGACCGTGCAATTAGCTCAGGGACACCGACCAAGCTGCGAAGCCACCCAAACACAAACGTTAAACATGCGGTATACTGTTAAGGACTCGGTTGCTTCATTTACAAATCCATAAAGCCCACAGTGGAAATTGCTCAGGTTCCGCCTTCTCACTGGACGTGCCCGAAGTGTGGTGAGGCAGGGTAGTGATGAACAAAATTGTGCAATCAGGCGCGAATGCCAGAGATACTTAGTTTTGTCAACCAATGCGTGAAGGAATGCGCGCAACTGTCGTCTTTGCCGAGATGGGGTTACCTTAATTCCACAGAGCAATCGCTCTCAAGATCGCCAAGGATTTCAGCCTAGAAGGATGCTTTTTTTCTGCAGAGGCCTTGTGCCGAGTGGCCACCGGTCAAGCCAGGTCAACAAGCGAGCGCGCTCCTCCTGCAACGTTTGTGGTGGCGAAAGGGACGGTGCTTCTGGCTGCATTCACTTGCTGTCGGCAAGCCAAAGCCTTTTGTCACTATCCTTGGTCAGACTTGGCCACCAGAAAACTCACTTGGCACTTTGCGAAATCGCGAACCGCCGCCAGCCCTGGTGCCGGGTGCTACATCGCGTTGGCCGCTGAGTGAAAGTCGGAGCCTTTTGTTTGCCCTTGCCTGTCAGAAGAAGCGTTGTGAGGGTAGTTCGAGAGCATTGACATTTAGATACAGTTGTTTGGCAGTGATCGAGGAGTGTCAGTTTAGCACCCTCTTGCTGCGGCAATCTCCGGCCAACAGGAAATGCGCAATCCTATGCGAATAGCAGTGAATCGTGGCTTGGGTGGGATCACAGGAAAGCCTGCAGATGTCCAACTTCGCGTATTCGAATCTGAGATTCGAATACGCGGTGCTGGCAGGCGCAGCATTCTCATTTGCTTGAAGCAGGCTCCAGGACTGTGGCCTGACTCTCTTAGCAGGGATTTTGAACAGCCTGCTTAGTGAGAGACCTTGAGAATACCACCAACACTTTCATGCAGCTGTCAAGCCCGGGCTGCCTTCTACACGCGAAGCAGACAAGTGATGAGCTGCGCTGATAACTTGCTGGCAGAGCTTCCGTTCCTGCTCGGTACTGTGGGGTCGGGCTCGAGTAGTTTGAAACACAGGTTGGCCTCGACATGCTGGAAACGTGGACCCGTGTTCTTTCCATGCCCCCCCCCCGTTCCCCCCCCCCCCTCGACAGCCGCGAACACGCTGAGGATCGGCATGCGCGTGGCAGCATGAAAGTCCGGGCAAACCCCCCCGTCAACCCAGCATGGGAAGGCTATGCATCGCGCATTGCGAACAGGCTTCCAAGCATGCATGCCATAACAATGCCGATAATCATTCCAGGGCCACCAAACGATAGGCTGTGGCTCTCACTGCGTGTGCTATTAGATGACCAGTTCCTAGCACAGTGAATCGACAAATGCAGTCTGCGAAGCGAAGCTATCTCTTCAGTAGTTTTCGGGGCTGTCAATCTGGCTGCCGAGTCTCAGGAAGGACTGTCGGCCAGCACCCAATTTCAAATGGCACAGCCACCTCATCATACAACTGCTCTCGCTTCCTTCATGCAAGCAGCCAACAGCGGTGGCCTTCTTCTTGCTCTTCAATGATAATTTGATCTTGCCCATTGAGAAGAGTGACAACGAGTATGTGAGTGCCCCTTTTTCAATCAACGGAGCCCTGGTTGCGGGTGGAGAAATCGCCTCCTCTGCCTGCACAATCACCACACTTGTCTATGGGTAGTCTCTTTCTTATCGCCAAGAAGAAGCCGTGCTGGGCCACAGAGAGCCATGCTTCACATGCCTGAGGAAACCTCCACGTGCGGCCGGAGTACCTTGTCCTGCCAGCTGGGACGGAGGTGCGGCTGCGTGCCATGTTTTGCCCGTTCTCTCGAGTTGCTAGGCATGCTTGATCATGCTTGTTTCCTTGATGAGAGGAGATTTTGAGGATGTTGAAGCAGACCGCGTTGTGTTATTTGCAAGCAGCAGGCCAAGGCCAGTCCTTGCTTGCCAATGACCATGCATCGCAGCCTTTGGCTTGACCACCGCGGCAATATGGGCTATGATGGAGTTTTGTGCAGGGCCCAACAATCGCTGCACTGAGTAAGACTATCCTGAACGAAATGAATCATGCAAGTCAGACTGCATTCAAATCGCCAAATTGACTAGCTCTGTTTGGGAAGTGCCTCTGCATTGGAATCATGGCGACTCCGCTTCAGGCTGCGTCAGCGTTTGGAGAGTTGAGCTTGGGAAAAATTCAAAACGAGTGCTTGGCTGAGTTGTCGAGTTGTCGACCAGCTGAGTTGTATCTTTCAGAAATTGAGCGAGCTCGCAGGGCCACAAGATTGCCAGGTTGTCATGCCATTGGCTTTGGCATGCAATTGGGCTAGCCTCGGCTGGTACAAGTGGACATGTTCGCCCATGCCCTTGTTTGAGCCACTGGTTCTCGTGTGAACTGAGAGCATTCAGCTAGGCGCTGTTGCCTTTGTCTCTGCAGCAAGCGATCCCACTCTGGCGGGACATTCTCGGCACGGTGGCCCAACGCCGGTTGAGGGTGCAAATTGAAATACTCAGCGTCAGAGTGTCATGTGCACCCTGTTGCAGACAGAGCCAAAAGGGCGCTCCCAGCGGTAAACCCCAGGTCCAGGACCTTTGCTTCAGGACTTTGGTGGTCTTCACAGCTGCGGAAGGCAACAGAGGGAAACTGGGGAAAGGGCACTGCTTTTGACGTTTTCCCATTGCATCTCAAGCTTGAGCAGGCGAGGCGCTTCTGCCATTTGGACAATGATGGTTGTTCGCAGTCAAGCTAAAGACCTGCCTTGGATGGACCGCTGGACCAAAGCACTTGTTGGTAGTGGATGTGCAGTTTGAAGTTCGATGTTTGGTCCTTAATAGGTATTTCAAGTTCCATGTCTCAGGTCTCTACTTCTCAGTGGTCTTCCGCTTTGCGGAGGTCGGCCTGAAGTCTGCATTGAGCAGGAACTTGACGAGGAAATGCCATGACGGTACTGGCCAAAGGCTGTTTCAGCAACATGAAACCCGACAGCTTTTGATGGTGAATATGGGCGAGACGGTGTGCGCACGAAGCTTTTGTGTCCATCAGTTCTTCGTATCAAGGTTATATTTATTTGCGTATTTGCGAGGCACCTTGACAATGTGGGCCACCTTTGTCACAGGTGCATCCTGATCTTCCACATGGGCAGCTTCTGGAGGACGTCACTGCACAGGCACCCTGCGTGCTGCGAAGTTAGCACACTGCGGATGAAATCCAGGCAGCAGCATTCCAGGGAAACCGCATATCGTATAATTCATTAAATGCGCAGGCTGCAGAAAAGCAAGTGGAGCCGCGGCCTCAGTGGCAAGCTAGAGCGCATAACTAATATGCTACTTGTAGCCGAGCTAGGGCACACATTGAGAACATTCAAGCGTGAAACATCCGTCAGTTGTTTCTCACAAGTCGCTCCACCCCAGTTCACACGCCACCGGAAGGTTCCAGGCCGCAGCATTTTATGCAAATGCTTAGTGGTTCGGAATTGCAAGCCATGAGTCTGCCACTGTCGAGCACAATGGCTCAATGGTGGCCAAACCTTCTGGTGTGGGGTCGGCGGATGCAGGTTTATGTGAAGCCTGCAAGAGCAACCCCCATGCACAAAGTCCAGCACAACAGTGACAAATGTGCGTCCAACGTCATTTGCAGAAAAGCGTTCATGTGCTTGGAGCCGAGACATCAGTGGATTTAACGCGTCGTCATGTAGTTGAAGCTCTCTCTCTCTCTCTCTCTGACGGCTGAGTGGCGGACAATGATGCAAACCGCATGGAGAACGACGACGTGGAAAAAACACGGCACGACAGTAGTTTTTTGCACACCTCAAAGGCGCAACCCACCGACCTACAGGTACCCCCTTCAGCGTGTGAGCGGATGCAAGCACTTTCACTTGCGATCGGCCCTCACTTGCTCCCCGTAACTGGTCACCTTTTGGGAACAGCCCAGCCATACTTCTCAACTCCTCCCTGCGACCGGAAGGCTTGGGAGATGGCAACTGCTCTCAATCGCTCTGTTGTGGTGATATTGTCTTAGATCTTGACAGACTTGCCGCCATACGGAGCGCCACCTTGCAGTAAAGCACCTTGTGTACCAACTTGTCCGGTGAATCCGCAGCGGCCACGTCTCCCTTCAACCCAGCGCAGCCCACACGTGAACATGGGATGGTCATCGCTCGTGATTTTTGCCAGCTTGAACAATCTCGTTGTACTTCTGGCTCGCCGCCTCCGCCTTCTCCACAAACCTCGCCTGTGTTGGCAGGCAAGTCCAGATCGCAGCTAACTGCAAGGCACGCACATCTGCCGCCAGCACCTTCATACTTTAACGATCTCCTCGCTCTCTGCGCTCACTTGTCGCCGCTTGGGGATTGGGCCGGTTGTCATCCCCGACGTCGCAGCCACTTGTCCATGAGGTCACACGGCCTGGCGGCAGCTATGGGCAAAGCCAGATGACCCACAATCAAAACCTGGCTAGATGAAGGTTTGTAAGGGACAATCTCAACCTGACTCAGATGCCAGATGCTGCTCCAAATGGGCATATAAAAGCTCATAAAAGCTCCAAAGTGCTGAGCTCATGCCCACAAATGGTACATTCAAGAGTTTTGGGGATGTCAGGAGCCTGCACTTTCCGCTACAGCTCTGAGACAACAATGCTACCCGCACGTGCCGAACCAGAGAAGCAATGCTGGCAAAAAAGAGAAATGCTTTGCAAAGGTACTGGTTGAGAACAAGTTGCCTGTCAAGCATTGGCCATGCTGCCCTCCCGGAAGCTTGGTCTGGTGAAAAAAACAGCACCCTGGCAGAATCAAAGGTGCGGTGGCAAATGGTTCCGTCTGCCAACGACAAGTCGTAAACATGACGCTCCGCATCATCCAGCAGTCCAGCAGGTCCATTGCGACTGCATCATGCGGCTCCACATATTCAAGAGGGGGGACAGCAACAGACTGGATTTGTCTTTGCAGAAAAGTGTCATCCACTCGCAGAAAGCATATCGTTTGATGTCCTCTTCAAAGAGGCGGAGAAGCTTGCCGTCAACTTGCTGTGCTCATGGTCGCAATGCTACCCGCACTGCTTCCCTGGTCGCAATGCTCCCGCACTGCTTCCAGATCATCACGAAGCCTCAATTTCCATCAGCAAGCCGTTTGCGACAACGTGCATTTGGCAAATGACGGGGCCTGGCTCAAATGTAAAACGGCCAAACAAGACGGAATGCCAACAAGGGTTCTTGAGGAGCGAACGCCACCATTGCAAGCGAATCCGCAAACTCAACCAGCGATCCGAATTGTCAAACCAAGAAACTTACAAAAGGGTTGGACATGCGCTGTGCGATGGCTCAGTCTCGAAGGCCAAAGCCCGGAAAATGCACAGCACGGCACGAATGCCCCTTTGCCCAGATGCAGTTGAAGCTAGTGCCTTTATAGTGTGTGTGGGTGAGGGTGTGTGGGTGTTTTTTGCTGAGCAACCAATATTTCTGCTTGCAGACATGTGATACGAGGCTCGAACTGCCTCGAGCTTTTGTGGAGTCCTTCAATGCAGAGTTTGCAGCGCTCTCAAAGAAGATGATGAAGGCGGGCGCGCACTTGTGATACTGTGCAAGCATGAGATGATGACTCCAAACCCGCTGAAGGTGTGCTGAGTGCTTTGCTCACTGCTTTGAGAGAGCACACACCATCAATTGAACCTTCACTCCCAGCTGGTTTCGATCAAGTAAAGCAACACAAACATACAATATCACTGAAGCCATGTATGCTCAGAAGTTTGGCTTGAGAGTGCGGGACACAAAGAAAGGGATTGGACATTTCACTTTATGAACTTTGACCCATTTTTTTATCTTTGAGCTGTTTTTAAGTATTTGAGTTCAACATGTTTTTTTGCTTGGCCTTACTTGTGCCAGTTTGAAAGGCTGGTGTCATTTGCTAGAACTGCCTTTGTTTCAAAGTTACAAAGGGAAGTCGGTAGACGAAGACCAGACTTGTTTGCCTCTTTAAGCAGCGAGGAAGTACTGAATTGAGGATGCGTCTAGCCACGTCAGGAGCTGGGAGAGCCACACTTTCCCACAATTCTAGCCGCCAGCTGCGCAGTGCGCGTGGGACAGCCCAGCCTGTTCGTCAGTGCGGCACTGTTGGCACTGTGCGTGCTTATGAATTTGTGACAGCAAGGGCAACAACAAGTGGTCACCTGGTCACAAGCTTTGTGGAAGTCGACAGCTGATACAAGACAGGGAGGGAATGCGGCCAAAGATGTAGCCATGGATTTATGAGACGACATGGCTCTTTATCAAAAGACACACACCCACACACACAGGGTGGTTCAGTTTCTGACAATGGAGGGAGAAAGTCAAGGCAGCACACATGCTGCCTTGCAGCCGCATATTCCTTGGCAAAGAGCCTCCAATCATGAAAGCTAGACAGCCATGTGCAAGAGAGCATGCCGAGACCAAGGTTCTCGAAAGCATTGCGTGCTTTCTGTGTGGCGGCTGGGGCCTGCTGGCAGTTGGCTTAGCGCATTGCAAGTCCATGGTCGACCGAACCTCAAACAAAGTGTGACATTGCATGCCATGTTCGAATGGTGCTTAAAGTGTTTGCTTGGAAGCTCTGTGGCAGCTATTCCTGCTGAGCTTGCTACTTGCACGACACTCGCAAGGGGGTACCAGCCCGTGCTCCTTGACTTGTAACATATTCCTCATGTCCCTTTGAAAGTAGGCTTGCGCCTCACCTGCCATTTCCGCTGGATCTTAGCAACGCATGGATATCAGCGCAGTGTGCCTAGTCGGTAGCAGCTGTAGCAGGTGTTGTTCCGTGCAGCTTCCACAAGGTGA